CAGCATACAGCGCGTTGGGCATATTCCTGGGGGGCATCATTGAAAATGCCGTTCTTCATGATGTTGAACAGAGTAGCGGATATCACCCCACCCCGCATCAGTCCATTTTCTTGTTCACATATGTTGGAGAGTACACCGCATTTCACCTGAAAGGTTATGCCATCTAAATAAGACCTTAGGTAATGCATTAAGCGTCCTCGGAAACCAAGTTGATACTCTGATATCATATTGTTATGTTCTATGTTCCATGAAAGCCTTTTGGTCACCATCCTTTCCACTAATTTGCTGAAACATGACGTCAACTGAATCGGTCTATGATTCGGGTTTATCGCCCGATTTGCCACGTTTCATAATTGGAATAATAATGGAGTGTTTCCACTGGAGCGGAAAGCTTTCTGAACACCATATATAATTAAGCACTTTCAAAACTACCTCTAACTGACTGTCATTCATATGTTTGAAGAAAGCACAATGGATTTTACCTAGGCATATCGAGGTGTTTCCACACAATGCAATGGACCGAGGGAGCTCATCCGTGGTGACAACAGTGTTATATGCCTCATAGTTGTCAGAAAAAGGTTGGCATTTCTTGTATCAGTTCATTTAAAGGATCCCTAAATATTGGTCGGTAGTTCTGGGAACCACAAGTATTGGAGTAATGTCTTCCCACCACATTTGCTTCCTCCTCAGGGTCATCATTAATAGCACCATCAATGTTCAAAACACGTAGCAGCCTTTGTGACCAGTATATGTGTGACCAGTACATGTGACAAGTTGTGGCCAGTATAATCGTCTATTCTTGTTGGACATCCATCATTCAAAATATATAATACATGTTGTCATATCACATGTTCCCACAGTTTATCTCTCTGATTGCATCCATCTGCACCCCACATACAATGTTGACTGTTGGCATCTGTGCATAGGATAAATGGCTGGGGTAACTGAGAAATTAAATTGTATAAATCAGGTAATGTTACTGTTTCGCTGGGTGGCAGAGGTAAATCGAGTGGACACACACATAATCACATTCTACCAACCTTCACTGACCAAACCACAGCTTGAAGTAGAGTGTTCACATTTATTTGGAAATGTGGATAATTGTTTGTAACATATATACAAACCCCTCCTTGCCTACCACTTATGTTTCCATACCCATTATGTAGCATATAATTAGTTATCTGATAATCATACCTGTCAGTGGGAAGAAAATGAGTTTCTTGAAGGCAGACAATGCCAAAGCTTTTCTTGAGAAGCACTGGTTTAACCTCTGGCCGTTTTGAAAGGCTCCTCTGCAATTCCACTGCAAAATGCTTAGGGCCATGCTAATTAACATAAGCATGCCACAACTCTTCCTGCCCCAAATCCAAACGAAGCCAAAAAATGAAACAAAAACAAAAAACAACACAACAACAATCCCCATCATCTCATCATGATCATCAGCATCACAAATATCAGCATCATCTCGAAGATACAAGATATCAATAGTCATTACGAATATCAATGGAAAATTACATTTTCTCCTCCCGTGACCTTCCGGTAGTAGATATTGCACAAATTTTCTCCACGGATCTACCCCTCCTTCCAATGCTTTGGGAAGCTAAATATCCATCATTAGTGCCATTGATATCCATCTCATGTATCTTACCTTCCCTGCTCTTTGTCTTATTCTTACCTTTGACTTTCTTCCATAGGTCCTCCTGGCCTGCCCCTTGCTTTTCTTTCTTCTTTGTCACTTGCTCACTTTCACCAAATGTTGTCATCTCATTTATATGCACCACCTCCCTACTCATGGGCTCATCATGTGTCTCCCTGTCTGTCTAAGTTTGTTGACTCTGATCATCATATGAAACGGTTGTTCCCTTGTCTGACTGAAGTTGTTTCGCCATCTTTGCAAGTATGGCTGTCATCTTTTTTTATTTTTCTTTTCTACGCCGTTACCCAAGAACAGGTAACCAGGAGTGTCCCTCCCTCAATCCCAGCGACGCCGTAAACCGTGCGTTAACACCAGAAAACATAAAATCAAGTCGCGGCACTCTCAGCTAGGAAGATGAAATAAACTTTTAAAAAAAACAGGCGAGGAGGTGGAGCAGACCCGAAGGAATTGTGTTATGTGAGAGGTGAGGAAAAATCGTAGATGAAAAGGCTTAAAGTAGTCATTAGCCAAAATCAGCTAATGACAGCCCGCTACAACCGCCCAATAATCTACAACCACTCAATTCCCCGTGTTAGTAAGGGTTATACAGTCACAAGTCGGAGGGGGCAATTACCTGGTCATTTTTGTGCTGGGTTTTCAGCTGGATGTCCAGGGAGTCCACCCAGCTAAGCAGAGCTTGTTGCTGGGAGAACTCCCGGAGCCAGCGCCATGAATTTGGGTATATGTGCATGACTTTATATCAGAAATTGATTATGAAACATGAAGGAGGTCAAATATGAAGTGCGTTGGATATGTACAGCACAAGGATGGCAATGTCTTCAAATATGTTCGTTACATTAATATGTGTTCACGAAATGCTTGCGGATGATGTTCTTAACGATGGGTTTCGATACAGGGATATCAGCTATTCTTGGAAAATATGAAACCACAATGTCGTTTCACAGCTTAGGGCCAAGGCAGGATGCTGTAAATAGTCTATAATTACGATAAGAGAAAGGTTGTTCTAAATGTTTTGCTCGCCTCATATCCATGTCATTGGATCCATAGAGATTGCAAATTAAATTGAATGATGCAGGGAGCTGTGAAGTTAAAAATTTGTGCATCACAATTAAAATTTGAGCTTTAGCAATATCCGATAGTTTCACAATTTTGTATCATTTCAAGATTGGCATTGAGCTTTACAGAGGATACACATTTTCTTTACGACGCACAGCCCTTTTTTGCAAAATTACTGATCGATCTAGTTGAGAAGCATAATTTATGCCCCAAACCAAGCAGCAGTAATTTAGGTAAGGAAGAATCAAAGTGTTATAGAGTAGATGTGATGTTGTTTCATCAATAAAGTACCTAACCCTACTTATTATTCCAATATTTCTACTTACTATGCTTGCAACAAAATTAGTGTGGCTTGTAAACTTAAGAGATTTGTCAATGATTACACCAGGGTGTTTGATTTCTTTTTTCTCTTCAATAGGTGAATCATTAATTTGCACATTTAGTCGGAAATGCGAAGAAAAGGTTGTGTAATGCCGTGTGAATGTTTTTGATATGTTCAGGGAGAGAAAATTAGCAGCAAACCATGAAGTCATGAGAAGCAAAAGCATACTGACAATGTTTTGAAGTTTGACAATACTTTTATTTTTGAAAACAATCACAGTATCATCAGCATAAGCATCTCATCTATCTTTTCCTTCAATGTTTCCACCTTCTCTTTTAATTCTTCTTCTTTTTTATTTTTGGGTGGGGCACATGTCACAGTAGGAGTATGCTATTCAACCAGGGGGTTGGTGACTAGCATGATATAATTTCCTATATAGCCTCATGTATATCATATATATATATATATATATATATATATATATATATATATATATATATATATATATATTGCCTCAGCATAGGGGATTTCATGTTCAACTTTTAGGGTACATATGTCTTTTTCTTTGATACATATAGAACACTCATGTGGCAGACAGGGGTAGGGGTATTCTAAACCCTTCCTCCAACCTTCTTCATAACCTCAGGTTTTCCAGATTTTACAGTTATTCTCAGGTATGAACCAGCATTGCGGTCTACATCATTCCAGAAGTTCTCCACCACGTCTTCAGGTCGGGATCACTTCCCAGGCCGACTGTGCACTACCATATCTCCATTCAGTCGGTCAGCACTAATTCCCACCCCTGATCCAGATCTAGATTTGGGAAATTTTATTAGTCTGTCAATGAGCAATGGGATAAAGAATACACTTGAAAACACAACCACAAACACAATCGAAAGAATCCACCGATTGATGATCTCACCCACAGCTTCCAGCGCACGCAATCTTTGTAGACCCCACAACGTTATCGAGGCTGCAAATCAATCAAGGCACCAGCGAAGGCTACAAATACCGATCCAACACCTTTGAAACAGTTGCGGCTGTTCCGTCTAATGATGAGACACCATATCTAGACCCAATTTGTCATAGTCGGATCTAGATTTCTAGGATTATATTTCAATTCTGTTCACTCCCGCCGTAGTGTACTAAACTTTATGCCAATTTTATGGGCTAATTTAAATTTGGGACAACGATAATTACCTACTCAGCCATGATTGGCTATCGGCAACATTGTGGCTGCTATCACTTGGCAAGAAGCGGTGCGCGGTGGTTGGGGTATAGCGACCGTCGGGAAGTGATCCAGTTGTTTTGTGCAATCGGCCTTGGTGGGGGTTCTTAGAGTCAGACGATAGACGTCTGAAGGCAAAAGCCTGTCATGCTTTGAGCAGGGCCTTGGTAGAGTTTGGGGGCACGCCGGCGATGAAAGATAATTGGGGCGCGGTCATGGGATATGGGATTTTGAATGTTGCTTATTAAGTGGCTATGTCGATGACAACCTCATCACATCAATCTATGCACTACCAAAAGGCATGAAGGTGTTGAACAAACACAAGGAGACAGTACAATCCTCTGTCTACACCACATCATTGCAGACTGCTCCAGACCCTGCCTCAGATTAGTTCTAAACATGGGTTGTTTGCATCTCAGTTCGCAGGGCTGAAAGCATGAAAACATGATAATCAGCCAAATCATGGTTTGTGAAAACTGAAAGCATGAAAATTAGTAACCATACTGGTTATTATGTTGGATGTCATTAGAACCCATCCAAACCCTTGCACAAGCATCTAGTTTGCTTCCTTGAATCTTGCTTTTTATTTCATTGCCTGTACTCAATATACTTCTGCTCATGTTATGATACTTCCAGGCCTGTGACATTGACCTGATTCCCTTGAGAGTTGAGCTTGTCATAATTTTGGTATTTAAGTCAGTTTCAGAGTAAGTAACCAAGGGCAGGGGACACTTCTTAGATGATGATCTTGGGCAAGTTTTAGTGTTAAAGATATGTACACCATAAATTGATCCCAATAACCTTGATATCCTCATTTAATCAGCACCTATGCATCTAAGATCAGTTTGTTTTAACCTAAAAACTTGAGATGCTAGAAAAATGGTAGATTAAGCTTCTTCTAATGCACTTTAGACATGATGTGAAAATGATGCCATGTTTTTATTATGGATGTTGCTTCTGTTCCTGCAATGCCATTTTAAGATTAGCCTGTTTCTTATGCTTATTGATGAAATATGATTCTCAGCCTGTTCCATGCTGTTATTTGATTGATAGATTAGATACCCATAAATGAACAATTTGTCAAGGTCAGCTCAAATGTTATTTTTGGTGGCACTGAAGTGTGCTACATCACATGCTTTGCTGGGCTGTAATAGCTGTCCAGCAGTTGGTGTCTCATGTGCACTTGCAGTCTTCACCAAGCAACTACCAGTGTGTTTGTCTTCAAATAATGGTAATCATGACAGGCATGTTTTAATTGTGAATTAACATAACATTGTAGTTATTGAACTGTTATCTCACATTGAAGGCACAACACCTTTGGTGTACTAAAGTGCTAATTCACTTCTTATCAATATATGCTGCTTTCATTTGAAATCATCTGAACAGTAATATTTTGAGCTGATAGAAGCTAGCCTTGACCAAGATGTAATTTGATAACATGCTTAACCCGTTCTTAATCTCACCAAATACGCAATCTTTGCAGGTCAAAGGCAAAAAATGGCTGCCCAGAAAACTGTGCTGATTACAGGATGCTCTCGAGGCATTGGTCTGGCTCTGGTGGAAGAATTTGCCAGTAAAGGTTGGCAGGTATGTGTAAGAATAATTGATTTTATGTGTGTTGGGCACCAGTCATGTTCTGCCTTTCTCCCTTCCACCATTGGTCATGTAGTTTTTAGGATAATTTGCAGTGTTGTCACTGTCAAATTCCCCTCCTTTTAGCCTGCTCTACAAGTTGTGAATGAGTAAGCTTGCCATGCTGCCCCACCTCCTATGGCTGGCAATCACCCCATCAGCCGCACCACCCACTCTGACCGCCACCGGCGCCTTCCTGATGGCGTCGTCAGGTGCTGGCCACCTGCCGCTCCCCGGACCGTGCCCGCGAGCTCGCCGCGCTGCTCAAGAAGCAGCACCAGCCGGCAGCGATCGCTCTTGACTCGGCCGACGACGGCTCCATCACGCGCGCCCTCCAGGCCGTCCAGAAGCTGGGTGTGAGCCAGCTGGATCTGCTGTTCCACAATGCTGGTATGCTGGCCCGACTGCTCCTCCCTCCCAGAGCAGAGATGTAGAAATGTCTCGAACATGTGACGTGTGTTTGGGAGAGGCTGCTGAAGTCTGTCGTCCTCATGCGCCACCCTTGGCACGAGGTGAATGATGACTCATATGGTTAATACTAGTGCCCAGGCGCAGGTTAGCCGGCTAGATCACTACCATCCCACAGCTGAATCCCTTCATGGAGGTTAATACCATACTCGTGCAGTACGCGCACCTCACGCAGCAGGCGCGTGCCGTCCCCACCCCCGGCTCGGACGGCGCCTGAGGAAGCGTCCCTTGCGCCCGCGCACTTGGTCCGGATACGCGGCCGCCGGCGTTTGGTTCTGATCGCGGCGCGGCTGGCACGTTACAGGCGTGGCGGGTGAGGACAATCTGCTGAAGACGACGCGTGCCGAGCTGGACTCGACCTTCACCACCAATGTGTCGGGTCCGATGGTGATCACGCAGACGTTCCTGCCCCTGCTGAAGGCCGCCAGCCAGCCCAAGGTCAGCACGGGGCTCGGGAGCGGTCGGGCTTCCGTCGCGCGTGCGATCCCGGCATGTTAGCTTTGCGCGACGTGTGGGCATAGAGGAAGCCTGTTATGCCTGTCCGCGTGTTTGTCCTCGTGGTCTCGGAAGATTGACCCTGCCATTTTGGACATGTATGCAAGTTGTGCCATGCAGTCGTCATTCGCATTGCTTCTCTTATTTTGGGTGGCTGCGTGACCATTCGCTGTCGACACGCCCTGAAACTCTTAGTTTGATGAGTGTAGATGTTGTCCTCCCGCATGGCTCGATGTATTGGCTAATGTTTTGGATGTTCGGCGCAGGTGGTTTTTATGTCGACCATCATGTCATCGCTGGAGATGAACATGGGCGGCGGCATGGCCTGCTACCGCATCACTAAGACGGCGCTCAACATGCTCGTGAGGTAAGATCCGGATCGTCATTCAGGCGCCTGCGTCACAAACGAGAGCTAGCTGCCTGTTTGTCCCAGGCCACAGCCATTGCAAAATCTGTTGCATTTATGCTGTTTTGTTCTTGCCCTACCTTGCATCAGGACATTCCGGAACACTTTTGATCGATCAGTCATTAGGATCATAGTCGTGTCCAGCAAGGCTCACCATAAAAAACGCTTAGCTGTTTATTTGTATGTCTTTAGGTTAAAACTGGGCAATTATGCGCTCCGTCTGACCCCGTGGTCTGCCACACCTGACTCCCTGACACACCCTGCCCGGCTCCCTGATATGCCCTGCCTAGCCCTCTGATACTCTCTGCCTGGCCCCCTGGTATGCCCTGCCGAGCACCCTGATCTGGTCCTGCCTGACCCCCTTATTCACCTCACCTGATCCCCTGATATGTCCTGCCTGACCCTCTGATCCGCCCTACCTGACCCCTGATCTGCCCTACCCGACATTGATCTGCCCCACCTGACCCCTGATCCACCCCACCTGACACCTGATCCGTCCCACCTGACCCCTGAGCCGCGCCACCTGACTTCTGATCTGTCCCGTCTGACATCGTGACCCGCCCTGCCTGACCCCTGTTCCACCTCACCCGACTTGTGATCCGCCCTGCTTGACCTCTAATCCTCCCTGCCTGACCCCTGATCCGTCCCACCTGACCCCTGAGCAGGGCCACCTGACCCCTGATCTGCCCTGTCTGATCTCGTGACCCGCCCTGCCTGACCCCTGTTCCGACCCACCTGACCCCTGAGCCGCACCACCTGACCCCTGATCTGCCCTGTCTGACTTCGAGACCCGCCCTGCCTGATCCCTGTCCTGCCTGACCTGACTTGTGATCCGTGCCACCGCAGGCAGTTCGCTGGGGACGTGCCGGGCCTGATCTCGATGGCCATGCACCCGGGCTGGGTGCAGACGGACCTGGGCAATTCGGTGGGACCGGCTCCACTCTCTCCGGCCGCCAGCTGCAGCGGCATGTACGCCGTCATCGAGTCGGCTTCGAGCGCGCAGAACGGCAAGTTCATCGACTACCAGGGCCGCCGGGTGCACTGGTGAGGCGGCGGCAGTGACCTCCGCTCCGGCAAGCGACCCCAGCCGGCGGACACGCCGACCGACACTCGTAGTCTGCTCAGTAGCCACTGCGGCGCGGGTTCTGTAAACCCCGCAGTCTCCTCTCCTCTCTGGCACCAGTTCTTTGTTACTGTGCATGAATCACGGCTTAGGTGATGATACTGATACTGTTGATGGGTACTCTGGGATTGATTAGTGTGTGCCTTTTATGGCATGTGGATATGCATTTGAACTTTGGGTTACTTCATGTTGGGATAGTAAATATTCACATATACCCGTCGCATTTAAGTCGCCTTGCGACTCCCTAACTCGGTCTGCAGCTGCTATTGTGATGATGATTTGGACTTCAGGGCACACCAATTAGCCTGCTATTGTCATATTGTGTGCGACAGTCAAGGCGAGATATTCTGATTTGTTTTGCAAATACGAAAGGCATTGTAACATGGACTCACAGAAACGAAGATGGAACCCCTAACTCATGCCTTATTACAACCGTGACACGTTTGTATACGGATCAGCCCATATCGCACAAGCCGAATGAAGTGCTCCGAACACAGGGAAATATATCTTTACCCATGACTTGAAAGTAGCACCAACAACTTTCATTCCAGATCGGGTTACCCCTTTCGTGCAGCACTGCCATTTACACACCGTCCGTCTTCTCTTGTTGTGCTGCGTTACGCCGCTTTTTAAGGCTCAATAACGGTCGCACAGTGTCATCTAAACTGTTCTCAGTCTCAAAGCATGTTCGTCAGATGATGATTGCTCTTGGCACTGTCTCACATTTTATGCCAGACTGACAGATTTTAAACTGAACACTCAGCATCATGTTTTTTTTTCGATGGCAGGTGCCAGAAATCTGGAGTTTTCTTTCTTTTTTCTGTAGGGTCTGCCTATTGTGTCCTTCACAGCTCCTTCCTACCACACTCGCAGTGTACAAGTATCGGCTGCTTAGTAATAGTTGAGGCAGTTTTAGCACGCCCTTCTATCGATCGCCTCACAGGGTTCCGCTGAGGCCGTTATGAACGGTCGGTTGTGGCTATGGTATGCTAACTGGCTTTAAAACTAGGCTGCGTAGTGCTGTTGTTAAAAGACACTGCGGGCGACCAGTGGCTTGCAGGCCAGTGAGAACTTTTCGTTAGTGGTCCGTTGTTTAATCTGTTTGTGTTGCTGGTTGTCCTGCACGAAAAGCTAAGTTTCGCGTTTGTGCACTTTCAGCGGTTGTTGAAAGGTATGCTCTCATGCCATTTTCCTTTTTTATTAGGTGAAGCTTGACACATCCTCGGATGCTGTGTGGTTTTCGTTTCGCTTGTTGTGAAAACCTCTGATATTCCGACATCCTGTGCGATCTCAATTAGATCTGTCATTGGCGGCATGTGAGCTCTCGATCCTTGTCCACCGTTTATTTCGATTGTAAGTAACTGTCATTCGCAAGGCGTTTATTAAAGTGGGCTGTAACTTGGCATGTCAGTAAATACGTCCGGTTGCATTCCTTCAGCATACGAATGTCAATGATTCCTCAGTTTATTGTTTCCGTTTTGGTGGGCTCGCCACCCCGTCCTATGACATCCACCGGGTATCGTTTGTCGTCTTCAGCGGTAGCGTTGAGCGGTTTTATGTGTTACTGTGTTGTAGTGGGTATGCTCTACCCAACTGGTCGTACTTTCTGTCCATGTTAGATGACCTTGTGTCTCTGCAAAGTTTTGGCAATACTCGACACGCGCCTACCGCGCCCTGCGTCCGTCCATGGTGATCGCTGGTTTCGTCGTCTGATGGTTGGGTCTGACTGGATCTGCTGGCTGTTACACCCCACGCTAGTGTCTGAACCCGTTGGCTGTAATTGCTCTGGTAACGAACTATACTTCCAGAGCGCCATTTTGAACATTGTCTGGAGCATTATCCTTTTCATCATAATACAGTTGTTCTGCAATGTTCGTGTTTTCCGTGAAAGGATTTTTTTTGGTGAGTGGTATGCCTTTAATGCCAGGGAATTGCAAGATTCTTAGGTGCTTTTGGAACCTGTCAATATTTCTGTGATTTGACTTTTCGTATTGCGTAGAAAGGCGATAGCGTGCAAGCAGGACACCAAAGAAATGCCTGTTGCCCTGTCATTGCAAGAGGACTAGGATATAATTTACAGGGCCCGCTGTAGGCGCCGTCGGTTGCAACGTTCACGCTGTTCTCAAGCGTTCATGACCTAGGGGCATTTCTGACACGTCGGACCACTGTAAATGGATGAACATCTGTACTATGACGCAGTAGCACACATACGGTTTTCGTGTAACTGCATGCACTATGCACTGGACAGGGTCGTAGGCAACAGCAGGACCAAGGGATTATGTCTCCTTTGGCAATTTCTCAACCGCCTACTAAAAAATGTTGGCGACATGCCTGCCGTGCTTGCCACATAGGTGCTGTTGTCAATGTGTGAGATCAGGTTCGTAGTCTTGCAAATTTAGTTGGGTGACTAAGCCGTTAAAGGAGCATGCAAACTTTCCGCGAAATACGCCAAGAAACTGATTTCTGCTTGGAGTTGGCCCGCTTTGTTCCTAAAGTTGTAGGGTCGATTACTCCCCCCCCCCCCCCACGCCCCACCCCCAACTAAGTCAGAATTGGGACTTACGCCCGTGTTCGAGATTCTGGCTGAACTAGACGTCAATGAATCGTAGGAGTCCGGTCTTGGTGGCCGCGCATCTAGATGGTCTATAAATATGGCAACCATAATGCAGCATGGCCCATTGCCTAACCATCCGGCTTCGTAGTCCGGTAATGGCAGTTGAGACTAATAACGTGGAGAGTGGCAATTTCCTAGCCTTCTATTAATTCATTTGTGATTACATTTTTGACGCATGTGTTACAGGCACCCGGTGTTTTCTGCCGGGGCAAAGAGGAAGGTCTCCAGGGCGGTATAGGGTTGGACCGCGTTTTGATGCTGTGTGCTGTGTGCGAATTTTGCTACCGGCTAGCAAAGCCCTTTGAAATCGGCAGGTGAAGGGAGCCTGAGATTATCAATGCTAGAAACCACCTATGTATGCAAATAGTTGAGGAGCTAAGGTAGTTTTGAAAAATACTTGGGCGTAAGTGACAACGTATCTTCATTGTTGAATGCATAATGCCCTGTTTTCAAGCTCTCGGGTACAAGAAGGGTGTGGCGTTCTATTTGTCTTATATGAGACTAGTGGACCAGATTGGGGGAATAACCCATTTGGTGCTAAATTATGAAGAAAATGCTACATCAGTTCTCCTAGTTTCCTTACCCTCCCTATCAACTTCCTTCGCACAGCCACGTCCCAGAGTGTGGGAACTGTTTCAAGTCTACTTAAGAGTGTTAGAAGCATAACACAACCTTGAATGACTGATACTGCCAGTAGTGAACTGTGCAATACCCCAAATTTATATCTGGGACCCCAGACAGATAAAGGTAAAAGAGAATATTCCTTATGTATATATACATATATATATATGTATATATATATACATATATATATGCATATATATATATATATATATATATATATATATATATATATATATATTCAAACTTGGGCTTAAGTGGCATATAATTGATATAATCAGCACTAAATTGTTAGTTGAGTGATGCTAAAACATAAGGACAGTGGGTAGAATATTAATATCTCAGCTTAATCAACTTATTTTACTATTGCAGTTAACCCAGGGTCATTCTAACTACACTTTGGATAAAGAGCATTAGTCAGCTGAGCATATCATTGCATTTGTCAGACTATGTTGTGTGCAGCCTTTTGGTTGTAGTACAACCACATTGAAATGGAGTTTTGCAAATACATAATTGTTGATGTGTGAAATTATTGATGTAAAGGGAGTGTACATTGGGTACATTGTGCTTGTTGCCACATTCTGGATATCCTGATGAAATGTAATTGCTACATAATTTAACTTTTTGATGCCCAAAACAGGGGGTGTGTTTGGCTGACACTGGTGGCATGGATTTTATGAGACAACACTAAGCCGATAGACAACTGTAGCTGGAAGATTCAAATGATGAAAGGGAATATTAACATTTGAAGGTATTGAATCAAGCATCCGATATGATCAAACAAACTCAGTTATAATTATAAGTCTGTTTTTTTAGCAGAAAAGACTGCTCTAGACAGCACAGTTTTCTTTTTGATAAGTATGCTCCTCAGTGAATTTTGGCTTGATTTTGTATTGTACCTTCCACAACATTGGTTGAGAGCCAATTGAGAGCAATTATATTGGGTGTCTGGAAATCACACTTGTGAACTCCAGAGATATGAACCCCTTGACAGCAACAGCTTTTCAGCCTTGGTTTGTGTTGCTACATGGTTTAAAGAATGACTGAATTTGAAAGATGTTATTATGTTATCATGAATGCCAAGGTGACTGAAGTACTCTTCCTGATACACCTTTCCTCATTGTTTGTGGAAGTGTAGCTGATAATCTAGATGGGTTAAGGTTTTGAGAAGGGCAGGATTGTGAACAGCACAAAAAGGTCTTCAAGGTGGCTATTTCAGTTCAAAACCCCATATAAATATGGAGCAATGCCTTTAAGACATGTTCAGATGGGGGAGGGGGTCCAACTGACCCCCCCCCCCAAAGGTTTTTCCAAATGGGTCCCCAAACAGCATGGCACAGCCATGCCAAATTCTCGAGAGCTGCAGACAGTTGAATAGTGGATCATCTGAAATAAAACATTTAGATGAACCTGGTAAGGACCCTGACCAATGGCAGGGCAAAGTCAGGCCATGGTTTCAGCAAAGACAATTTCTAGGGAATTGTTAAATCTGATTCAACCATGGAGTGCTAGCTGATGTCATACATCTCTCAGATGCTTTCTTAGGCAACATAGTAATTAAAAAAAGCAAATTACATTGACCTAGGGTCAGGTATGGAGGTCAGACCAAGGTGAAAACAAACCTGTTTTGTTGCTCAAGGGCTTGCTGAATCAGGTATTTTCTGGCACTCATTTCAAATTTACTGACAACAGGGACCACATTATTCTCCTTCCATGAACTTATTAAAGAATGCAATAGGTTGTTTATCTAAAATGATACAGGTCAACATTTTGTTTTTAGGAACACACCGTTGAGTATAATCTTGGTTGCTTATTCAAGTGCAAAACTCATTGCGGTCTTGCATGATTTTGGTCACCGTGATCTTCAAAAGGTCAAACAAGGTCACTGACCCTAAATGAGTATGTGAACTTTTGCTTAGGACAGTTATCTAGGTTCTAGGGAGCCTTTGGAGACAAACTTGAAATTTGGCCTTGTGTGACCTTATTTAACCTGAGGGTCATGACATAGAAATTTCAAACTTTGACCTAAGTGACTTCACATACAGGTCAACACACTCTGTAACTTTGGTGTGTCTAGCTCTCTTAGTTCGGGAGATCTCAGGGGAGTCATATTAACCCCCCACCCAAGCAAAGGGTATCCAGCTGGCAACCTGAGCATGTGTTGAAGCCAAACAAAATATATTTGTTACAATGTATGAAAAAGCTTGCATGAGTTATTACTTGAGTCATTCAAGTTGTACAATAATGATTTCAGCATTGTTCACCAACAAAATTAAAAGCACAATATCTTTTTGAACCAATGACAATGAAAAATAGTGTCTGGATATGTCTGAGTCACATTGGTACTGAGTATCTATGTTGCATGATTTCACAGATTCTATGCTGCATTGCAAGTTACAACAGGTCATGGTAATCAGGAAACCAAAAGTAATGTTATGTGCTTCAGCTCTGTTATGATATATATATATATATATATATATATATATATATATATATATATATATATATATATATATACTTGACACTCAGGTACACATGTCCAGTCAAAGCTCATTGTAGAAAGCAAGTGGTGGGTGGAATGCTTCCAACACATTACCATAACCTATTTTGGTTCATATTACATAATCCTTTAGAATGAAGCACCAGCACATGTCAGTACCAGTACCAGTATGCTCCAGTTCTTGGCTTCAGTTTTCTTAATCTACCTTTGGTCGGTTCAGTCTTCAGTATACCTGACACACACACACACGCATGCATGCATATATATATATATATATATATATATATATATATATATATATATATATATATATATATATATCATAACAGAGCTGAGGCACATAACATTACTTTTGGTTTCCTGATTACCATGACCTGTTGTAACTTGCAGCATAGAATCTGTGAAATCTATATATATATATATATATATATATATATATATATATATATATATATATATATATATATATATGCGTGCCTGCATGTGTGTGTGTCAGGTATACTGAAGATTGAACCAACCAAAGGTAGATTAAGAAAACTGAAGCCAAGAACTGGAGCATGCTGGTACTGGTACTGACATGTGCGGGTGCTTCATTCTAAAGGATTATGTAATATGAACCAAAATAGGTTATGGTAATGTGTTGGAAGCATTCCACCCACCACTTGCTTTCTACAATGAGCTTTGACTGGACATGTGTACCTGAGTGTCAAGTGGATCTTCATGTTTGGTGCTCCCCATTCCCTTTCTTCATTGTCGTGAACTTTACATGAACCTGAAGGATGCTGTTATTTACCAAGGCTGGCACAATGTTAAAAATGCTTCCTGAGGCATATTCCTGTCATTGTGACATTTTTTGCCATTGTCCTAATAATCATGTGTATTATTTAGCTGGAAATGGCAATATCTTCCACGTGCACCCCCCCCCCCCCCCCCCCACCTGGTGACATCTAACACACAGCTTTCGTGATCCACCAGGTGACCTGTGCACACCGCCATGGAGGTGGAGGGCAGCGCGGGCACCCCGGCCGGCCAGTGGTCGCACCTGCAGCGGCTGCTGACGCGGTCCGGCCCGCTGGCGCACCCGGAGTTCCAGCCGTCGGCCGAGATCCTCGAGCTGCTGCGCGACACTCTGCGCGTGCTGGTGGTCGGCGCCGGCGGGCTCGGTTGCGAGCTGCTCAAGGACCTGGCGCTCATGGGCTTCGGCTCCATCGACGTCATCGACATGGACACGATCGACCTGTCCAACCTGAACCGGCAGTTCCTGTTCCGTCAGCAGGACGTGGGTCGGCCCAAGGCGGTGGTGGCGGCCGAGTTCATTCACGGCCGCGTGCCAGGCTGCACGGTCACGCCGCACTTCTGCAAGATCCAGGACTACGACGAGGTGTTCTACCGCCAGTTCCACGTGGTCGTCTGTGGCCTGGACTCGATCTTGGCGCGCCGCTGGATTAACGGTGAGTGGCCGGGTGGCGGCTGTGGTTTTATACACGGCACGGTGGCATTCTGCGTATTTCAAGAAATGCTGCATTAATTGCGTGTGTTCACAGCGATCTTAGATCACCGTTGTCTACATGTCGTTGTCTGGAATACTTGGGTCTGGGAAATGGATTACAAACAGCGAAATGGCACGCCTTCCACGCCTAGTAGTTGAATGCATGCACAATTTTAGCGCAAAACCGACATCGTTTGACCGAATGGCACCATGCGGCTTCAGAGCACCCTGGCTCAGAGCGCCGTGGTCACCACTGCTCTGCTGGACAGGTATGCTGGTGTCTCTGCTGCGGTACGAGGAGGACGGCTCGTTGGACCAGGGCTCTGTCATTCCGCTGGTGGACGGCGGCACGGAGGGCTTCAAGGGCAACGCCCGGGTCATCCTGCCGGGCATGTCGGCCTGCATCGAATGCACGCTCGACCTCTTCCCCCCGCAGGTCAGCTTAGGTCGTGCAGAGGGCGCGCTGGCTCACGGAGAGTCAGTGTTTGTTTGGCTGGTGTCAGGCGGAGGCCCTGCTGGGTTAGTTGAGGGTGGTTTAGTGGAATTGAACCGACGGTGGCAATGGCAACCCGCGTCACGTCATGTCCCGAACAGATCCAGGTCAGCCTCTACAGGTCACCCAGCCCTCACTGACAGAACCAGATCAGCCTCTACAGCTCACCCCGGTCCGCACTGATAGAGCCAGATCAGCCTCTATAGCTCACCCTGGCCCTCACTGACAGAACCGGATCAGCCTCTACAGCTCACCCAGCCCTCACTGACAGAGCCAGATTAGCCTCTACAGCTCACCCCGGTCCTCACTGACAGAGCCAGATCAGCCTCTACAGCTCACCCCAGTCCTCACTGACCGCGTCTCGTCCAGCTCACCCCACTGCTGACGCCTCCTCCAGCTCACCCCATTGCTGACGCCTCCTCCAGCTCACCCCACTGCTGACGCCTCCTCCAGCTCACCCCACTGCTGACGTCTCCTCCAGCTCACCCCACCGCTGACGCCTCCTCCTGCTCACCCCACCGCTGACGTCTCCTCCAGCTCACCCCACCGCTGACGCCTCCTCCAGCTCACCCCACCGCTGACGCCTCCTCCAGCTCACCCCACTGCTGACGTCTCCTCCAGCTCACCGCACTGCTGACGTCTCCTCCAGCTCACCCCACCGCTGACGCCTCCTCCAGCTCACCCCACCGCTGACGCCTCCTCCAGCCCACCCCACCGCTGACGCTCTCCCCTGGCCCTCACTGAACTCGTCCCCTCTAGCTCACTCCAGCCCTCACTGACCGGGTCTCCTCCAGCTCTCCCCCAGCCCTCACTGAACGCGTCCCCTGTAGCTCACCCCAGCCCTCACTGTTGACATCCGTCCGTCCGCAGCACAACTTCCCGCTGTGCACGATCGCTCACACGCCGCGGCTGCCGGAGCATTGCGTCGAGTACGTGCGCCTGCTGCTCTGGCCCAAGGAGAACCCGTGGGGCGAGGGTGCCTCCATCGACGGCGACGACCCGGCCCACCTGGCCTGGATCCTGGAGCGGGCGCAGGAGCGCGCCGCCGAGTACGGCATCGTCGGCGTCGACTACCGGCTAACGCAGGTAAGCGTGGCTGCGGCGGTACGGCTGCCGATGGAGGTTGGCGTGTTATAGTTCCTGCTGTCATCTCCGGCTCAGATGGCGCTGGTGTTTGGCAGCTTTGGCTGGTGAGGCTGACCGAGATGGATGTGTCAGAACTGACATCGTGCCTGACTCAGATGGCTGTGGCAAGGGTTTTTTGTGACGGAGGTGAATGCGGCATCATCCAATGCTCGCTGCCGCCGATGGGGCTCCTTACGTGCGGAGTGACGCGGGTGGGACGGGCTGCTGCTGGCCGACCGGTGTTTGACCCGTGCGATGTGCGTCGGTGACCGTGACGCAGCGTGACGTCAGCGTGCGTTGGAGTCCGGGGCGTGCTGGACGACGATTTGGTGTGCGCTGGCTCGGCGTCACGCTCGTCTGTTGCTGTTCAGGGTTGTGCGATCGCAGCCGTAGTACCCCATCCCATCCCCACTCCTGCGAGGTGCAGGGTGGCGCCTGGACACCCTGCCCTGCGTATCCACCTGGCTAGGGCGTCATTTGCCCACGGTTTAGCGCACTTTTTGGGAGGAAGAGATTCCGTGCTCTATCCCACCCATGAGACCTCGACCGTCTCCAGTTGCTTGGGCTATTCTGGAGCTCACGACAGCATACTAAACTCATCGCTGGTTGCGGCTGTGGCTGTCAGTGTTGCTGTGATGCTGCGCAGGGCGTGGTGAAGCGCATCATCCCGGCGGTGGCGTCCACCAACGCCGTGATCGCCGCAGCCTGCGCCACAGAGGTGTTCAAGCTGGCCACCAGCTGTGCCGCGCCCATGAACAACTACATGGTCTTCAACGACGTCGACGGCATCTACACGTACACCTACGAGCAGGAGAGAAACGTGAGCGGTGCTGGAGGGGTCATGTAGGTGTCCAGACCAGAGCAGTGCGTGTAGTGGACGAGGTGTAAAGGTCGGGTTCGTGGCGTCGTGTGCTTTGTAGTTGTTAGTTAATATGACAGGTCCTGAGTGTTGCTTGACATCTATTTTTGCCACTGGGCCGAACCCTTTGTGCATGGATAAAGATTCTACGGGTGATGACACTAGATTTCAACAGTGATCGTCAGAGCTGCTGCTTACACTAGACATACTGCGTCGAAAAAGGCGCCGGACTTCTGCTCTTAAGATATCTACGATTCATGCGTGTCTGGCACGATCTCAGAAGCAGTGTCAGGAGAGCCTTATAAACGGCTGAGGTATGCGCCTCTCGGAATAACGCCGTGGTCTGGGTGCGAGCAGTCGCCTCTTCAACACAAAGGACCATCGCCGTGGTCAGCGCCGCACGTCTCTCCCTCGTAACAGACCTGTGAGCGGCAGCCATGTTCCCCGCGCCCCGTCCCCCAGCGCTGAGCCGCCGCTCCCGGCGCCGGCAGGAGGCGTGCACGGCCTGCAGCCAGCGGCCGGCGCCGCTCGCCTTCCCGTCGGACGCGCGGCTCGAGACCGTGCTCGAGCACCTGCGCACGGCGCCCCAGTACCAGATGAAGTCGCCCGGCGTGACCACCGCCGCCGCCGACGGACGCAATCGCACCCTCTACATGGCCACCGTGCCCAGCATAGAGCAGCGCACCCGACCCAACCTGAAGAAGACGCTGTCTGGTGCGGACGCCCGGATATCCTATGGGGCGGGGAGGTGGGGGAGGAGGTGTCCGCTTGGTGCGGTGCACGTGGGTGTTGCGCTGACAGTGCAGTGTCGTGATTCTAGCCGCGGTAGGCTGGTGGTATTGTCTTTCAGGCGCTTCGTAGAGCTAATTCGACCCGACCCAATCTGAGGTTGCCTGAGCCACGCTGTTCTACTGTGTCACAGCCGTGCCTGACCTGACCTGAGGTGCTCTAACTAGGTCTGGGCGGACTTGAGGGGCCCTAGCCAGCCTTGACCTGACCTGTACTGAGCCCAGCTGGGTTAGCTGACCCGCTCTGACGCTGGGCAGCCGGGAGGGATTTGCGCAGCAGTCGTACGCGGGCGGCCCGGGCTGCCCTGACCTCGGCGCCCGTTTGCCCGCAGAGCTGGGTCTGACCTCGGGCCAGGAGCTGGCGGTGGCTGATGTCACCACGCCCAACACGGTCCTCTTCCGACTGGAGCTCTCCGACGTGTGACGTCACCGGGAGACGGCGGCGCACGGGGACGGCCAGTGTGACGTCACCACGCCCAACACGTTTCTCTTCCGGCTGGAACTCTCCGACATGCGACGTCAGTGGGAGACGGCGGCGCACGGAGGCGGCCAGTCAGTGTGGCGTCGCTGGGAGACGCCATGGCTCCGGCGCCCGACGGTCCCGAGCCAGTGGCGGGCACACGGATCGCCGTCGCGTCAGTATGTCATAGCTGTGTCACGTGACCTTCATGGGACTCAAATGTCTGTCGTTGTGACGTCGCCTCAGCAGGTGGCTGGGCATCCAGGTGATAGTATGCTGTTGAGGTCGTTGAGCCCGGAGAGTCGCGGGACGGGTGACGTCATCGGGATATCAGAGGCGCTATGTTGAAGGGAGGCATTGGCCTCTGAATGACGTCACTGCCTGTGCTGACGTCACCGTGTGAAGAGTCGGTTGGTCCAAGGTGTGAAATAGTGCATGTGTAGCAACGATGGCTGTATTTTGACGGCATTTTCGTCAGTACAGGACAGGTGGCGCGTTGTTAAGATTGCTGTCCAATGTTTGGTGAAACAATATACATCGCGACCGGCAACTTTGTGGATGTGAATCTGAGCTTTCTATAAGTCCAGCACGGGGTATAAAATTAGATTGCACACGTTATTTTATGGTATATCACTTCACTGCTAGCTTCCATGTCTTTCAACTGGTCGTAGAATGTGTGTGGCACGCAAAAATGTCTTGCCGAGGACGGAGAGAGGGAGAGATGCCTGCAAATCTGGGACAGACGCTATGTGGTGACTGCGGCACATTTTCCCCTTAGCTGCAAGGAGAACCATTATAGACATAATACAAATATAGAAAAGACAACCCTCTTCACACCGTAAATAGGAAATGGCACGCGTACCAGGTTGCGTTGTGCGTGACGTTCGCGAAAGTTCTCCAGATAACGCCACGTCTCACCATCACAATCGTCATCTCTATGACCGATTAACCGCCTGAGCTTGTGCTTGATTCAATGCGCCAGTTATTCAATATGCTGCTTGATCCCTTCCGGACATGTTATGAATTTCTCAAACCAAAAGGCTTATCCTTATTTACGGATACGGAACAGCTGACCGCATTGCCACGGAGGTAGTCCGTCATCAAAACTGAGTGTTCGCCTGGGACACGAGGTCGGACCGCGAAGCCGGGCCGCGGAGCCGGACCCCACGCGACTGTGGTGCCCGCTGGCGCGGCGTGGCTGTGCCCCGTCTGCAGCAGTTTGTCGCCGGGAGAAGGGCGTGACCTGCGGAGGGCGTCACGCCCCGTTGACGGTAGTTTCATGGTCACTGGAATACCCGATGGGGTCGGCTGCGGACGGCTGCCCCCCCCCCCGAACGTGTTCAATACGAACAATAGGACCGCGTTCGGGTAACTGGCCTTGGCCACACATAAGTCCACGGATGATCGACGCCTTATAAATGATCCGGCGGCGAGCTGGCATCTGTTGTCCTCTGATGACACTCCCGCGCGTGCTGCTGATCTCGCTGATCAATATTTGGTGTGGGAGAGCGGGCGCTCTTCCGGTCCCCCTGCTCATTTGTCGCCGTTATTCCCTGCCTCTACACCGACTGCGTTCGGGCGCAATAGCCTTGCATTGTGAGCGGCGGGGATGGCTTTCCGCCTCGTAACGCATTCGGATCACGAAGGTCAGCGTCATTACACCACACAATGTGGGGAGAATGCTCCGGTGGGATGGCTCGTCCGATCGTAATTTCAAGCTTTAGTTCTCACAACTGTAATCGCTATGCACAGTGAGATGGCTCAAACGGCTCGCAAAATTCACTTTTTGCGAAATTGTCTTTGTTGTTCACAGAAACAACACAAGCCCCCCCCCTCCCCCAAGTAAGAACCGATGTCTTTAATTATTATCATTACTGTGCTTTCATCTATTGTTGTAAATATGATTATCTTTTATTTCATTTAATATAAGGGCCAACATCAAATTTGCAGAAATCCGGGTAGCTCAAAATGTTAGCATACGAAATCTGTTGACGTCCTTCTGATCCAGGTATTGGAAACAACCATGAAAATCTACCTTTTGAAAAAGTTTTCCACTATAAACCTGTCTGGTCTTAACTTTAATCTGACCTTCATAACATACGCAGGATCAATGGAATTACTTCAGAGCTGCATTCCCTAGTCTAAAACTGCATTGTCACGTCAGCTTCAAAAAATTGTCCTGACAGCTGGGTGCGCTGACAAATATGGCCTGACCGCTCAGCGCGCTGCAAATCCTCTGATGATCCGCTGCGTGCTTACAACCTTGATGGCGTATCTATTTTGGGCACCAAAAGATCGGCCATTGCCTTGCGTACAATTCAGTAAAGCGTGGCGTCGCTACGACGCAATGCTCATAAGCTATCAAAAGGGACAGCATTGATCCAAGAGCGTGTTAAAAGGGACTCTGCTCCAGCCATTTGTCATGTCATTTGTTTGCACATTTTGTGCGGGGTTTGGGTGTGAAGCGTCATGTTAAGCTGCCGTGACTCATCCTCCTTAGTCACTCTGGGTTCATTTGATCCTCATCTTGCGATTGCCGCCCCAGGGGCGCATCCAGAACCTTAGTAAGGAAGGGGAGGAATGGGGGTCACTTGATTTCGAGGAAGCACCATTTCTTTCGTTTGGTTTTTGTTCGTGTCGTCTTTTTAACTGAAACAGAAGTCATAGTGCAATTTTGCTTGCATTTAGAAATCAACAGAATTAAAAAAACTAAGTACTGCATGATTGCATGGAATAAAGTGCGAGTGTTATTCATGTTAGGGTGGTTGAGAGGACTAATTTCAAACCGATGACGGTCTGGAGCGTTGGCAAATCTGTTTGGGGTTAGGGATTCCATGGATTGGACGAAGAGTGCGCATTAACAGGATGCAAACTTCGCATTAATATGGAAATTTTTATAGCTTGCATTGAATGTGGTCCCTGACCGACATAGAGAACCCCCTTATTGCAGGGGTCTGGAACGCAAATCGCGAACCCGGCCCTTTCCTCCTCAAGAAATTGGCCCCCAGAGCCCAGACCGACACGGAGCGGACTATCCGGTGTTGGCATTCTCGGACAGACGTAGTCTCGTGTTTCTCCCCCCCCCCCCCTCCCGTGGGCGTAGGAACAGGGAGGGCCAGGGGGGCCATGGCCCCCCTTTGCAAGGTTGGGGGGGCAGGGGCAGCAATATTAACTGCCCCACTTTTGCCCTGCCCCCCCCCCCCACACACACCTTTCAGATTAAGGTTGCATTTGGCTTACTTTTGCACTGGATCAAACATGCATGCAGATTTGCCTAGTTCACCAGCCATCTCCCTTAAGATGCGTCATCTTTTTCGTTTGCTCATTGGCCATCACTTCATGTTACAGCCGCAAGGCCGACGCCGCTCGGCCTGGAGACTGCAATGCCGGGCACCGAGGCTGTTGTTGCCATGACTTGCGAACACGCATGTTCGACACCATATTACGTAGTTTTCTTAGCAGTAATCAGCTCTGACAGGATCCTGCACATTTTAAGACGAACATGGGCTAGCCATGTTAATACAAATTATGAACCCCATTTCATCTGCAATCTACAGTCAGGGAGAACTCAATATCTCTGAAGAACACAGAAAAACATGGAACTGGAGTCTATGTGAAAACTATCGGACTACCTGCGGTGATCAGGGATGTTGTTGCGTCAATGAGGGTCCCTGTGCTGATCCGGGGCTAACTGCGCGGATCAGAAGGCCTCCCGTGTCAGGGATGGGAACAATGTGATATGATATATCCTTCTAATGACCTCCGGATCGACCAGGAGATCCCGCCCCGTGCCACCAGAATGATAGCCAGAAGACACTTCGCGATGGGACGGAATGGCCCTTCAGCCCTTGACCGGAAACGGTAATGTACCCCTGGTGTTCTACTCAAGAGGCCCCTTGCCCGGAAGGGAATAAGGGGTCTCATTATTGTTGAGTAGAGTGTGAATATCATTATTGTTAAAAAGCACGGATCGAAGTGAATTAAAAAAAACGAGCAATGTTTGTCCGAGAGCGTTCATTGCTTTCAGAATGTATTATTGAAACAAATTACATGAAAAGGCTTGAACATGCGCGCCCGCAACCTCGAGAGCAAGGACGAGGATGGTCTGGGTTGCAACTTTCGTAAAACCGATAAGTTTCGGCCACTGCAACTGCCACCAGACGGCGGACGCCGTGTTAATCTGTCTTCCGGACAGATAAAAAGCTGCGAAAATATAAAATATAGAGATTTTACCTTCTCTCTTTCAGTTCAACCACCAGATTCCAGCCCCACTTCGCGGTGCTTTAGCGGCCAATCCGTTCTTTTCATCAACCTAAAAATTGCGCGCCTGAAATATGCCCTCAGACTGCCTTCTAAATACAAGATCTGATGTCATGAAGCATTCAAGGATACTTTCTCAGAAGCGTCTTCATTTTCGTCCACCCGTTGGCCACAACTCAATATTAGTTGCCAGGCCGACGCTGCGCGGCCTACGGAGACTGCAACGCATGACGGCGAGGCTCTTGTTTCTAAAATTTTCGAGTGCGCATGCTCAAAATTACTCCACATAACATGTTCAACTAGTTGATTTAAGTGTTTAAAGGTAATCATTTCAGAACCGTCATCATTTTCGTCCACCGGTGGGCCGCGGCTAAATGTTAGTTACTGGGCTAACGCCCCGCGGACTATGGGGACTGCAACGCCTGGTGTCGAGTTTTTTGTTGCAGATTTGTGAGCGAGCATGTTAAAAAACGCGTCACATGAATTGCATCACTAGTCGATTCTGACTGAGTGATGGACATTTTCAGACAAACATGGCTTGGCCATGTTAATACACATTGTTGACCACTCGATTCGCAATCAAATTTTCGTCTTCAAGTTTGGATCAAACATATCGATCTACAATCTACCTTCGCGATGTCCTCAATGCCTGTAGAGCTCAGATAAAAAATTGACAAAGCTTCTGAATTCTATCGGTTTAGAAAGAGTCAGCCAACCATTGTAAATTAAGAGCGCCGGTGATTTCTTCCATGCTGTCGCTCAACGCCTGATTTCCGCAGTTTATTGACCCCAAAATCCAAACAGAATTGAGCTTACGGTAGCTCCTGGTTTCTGTTTTGGTTACAAGGTAAATATAACAATAAAACGAAGAAAACCGTGTCACTTGTTAACAAGTAAGCCATATCCGGGAATTTTTGGGGGGTCACCATAAGATGGGCTTTTGTCAACCCTGTGTTCCCTCTCGGCAAGCCTCTGGCTTCGCCCCTACCTACACACAAAAGCAGACCAAGTCGCGTACGTTGCATGATGGGCAATGAAGTGTCCGTTGGGCCAATCCATACTTGAGGCAGACAGCTTCCCGTAGGCTATTTTTCTGCGATGGTGTGGTATAAGGGAAGATAATTTGGGAAAAGATACTGTTGCAGGTGTCCAGCACATGTTTCATACACCATGTAGAAGTAACGCTGGTCCAAAAGTATGCAACAAAGTAGCCACACGATCAGCTCGCAGTCAGTCATGTGGGATACATCCAGGCCAGAGCAGTGACCACCGACGGCGGACAGGAGCAGG